TGAAATGATCCAATAAACATTGATGATTTAGCATTTGTCTTACCAAAAACACTTGGAAATAATTTCTGACCCAACCGTTTTTCTTCACATAATCAAATTTATGTGACTCCTCAATCTCATACCATAGGAAGTCAAAACATACTTGGTACAGTTTCTGTCGGTCATCATTGTTTTCACTGCTGGGGAGCCCTTGACAGGTCACTGTAAAGTCACAAGCCATCACCAAGTCTGTATCAAAAATACTTCAAATGGGGTTTCCAAACACTGTTGACCACATTGCTCTAGTAAATGTTCTGCCTTTTTTGTGCTTGCATTGTGAAAGTGACATAACCTAATGCAAATATTTAAGCAGGACTTTCTATGTATAAGGAAGGTACTGACTTAGATACAATAGGGAATATATAAAGATGAACCCTCAAAGAGCATGTGATATAATCAGATGACTAGTTATACAATTTAAGGGAGGGGAGATAACTCCATGAAGGTTTTTTGGAGGATATGTGTTTAGAAATGGGAGTTTGAGAATTCAGTCTGTCAATAGGTGAGGTTAACAGAGATCATAGATTCCAGTTGGGTAAACAGCTTGAATAAAGAAACAGAAGCATGGTTCAAATAAAAATTCCTTCTTAATTGAAAGTTAAGATTCATACAGAGACAGTCAAAGATGAAGCTAGAGAAACAGGTTGAGCCTGATGGTGGAGAGGCAAGAATATAAACTTCAGGAGGCTCAGTGATGTTAAAAATTCATGAAGTAGTCACAAAGACACTTGAGTATAAGAGAGCCATTATAAATACTGCAGAAGTTTCATATTAGTGTGTGATGCTTGGAGTATGGAAAGGCAGTTAGGAAGCTACCATAATACATGAGGTGAGAGGAGTAAGGTTAGTACCCTGGTGATAGAAGTTCAGTGAAGAAGGGGGAAGATAACCCCTGAATAAGAAAAAGTGATATACATGAAGCCATGATTAACAGGCAATGTTAACTGAGTAACATGGAATGCCTGAGGGGAGAGAGGATCCTATATTGAGTAGCATTTGTGTGTAAATAGACACTAAAGCACTACAAGGAAATTCTGGATGTATTGCGATCTTGTTTGCTGTTACTTTGAACATTTTAATCAAATGCTTATGTTATTCTATTAATCATTTTTTCCCATNTGAACAGTCAAAGGCCACAGGTTAATTGTCGTAGCATGAGACTGCAGAATGAAAGGGGACGAAAAAAAGGGCAATCTCCAAATTAAATCTATAGATCTGTTTTAAATTATTGTAGTAATTAAAATTACTTCTATAACAATCCAGTAAATTAGGTATATATTATATAATTTGTATTACATAATATATAATTATATATTATATATTATATATATACAAAATCCAGCAAATTTATACATATATATATATATATATATATATATATATATATATATATCTCCCAAAGATTGAAAGCAGGATCTGAAAAGGATATTTGCACACCTATGCTCATTGCAGCATTATTTCACAACAGCAAAAAGGTGGAAGCAACACCACAATTGCCATTGACAGGTGAACAGATAAAGAAAATATGGTATATACATAGAATGGAATATTATGGAGCTTTTAAAAAAAGGAAATTCTGTCACATGCTGCAACATGGATGAAACTTGAGGACAATATTATAAGTAAAA